TCTGTTTCAAATGGGTGTTGAAAGAGGTATCCATAGATCTCTTCATTTTGCTCTCAAAGTGCACCAGATTGATGCTTTTAACTTCAATATTTAAAAATAAATCTTCCCGGACGAGCTTGCCCCCGCACCCCCCTATGTGAGGTCCACACACCACCTATAAAATAGCACTTGACCCCTGCTTACACCTATATGCCGTGAGCGGATTATCGAGCCTTCATTGTAACTGTCACACTGTGTATTTGCGTGGGGAGTGTTGCAGTAGAAAATTCCACTGTAGCGACCGGTACATTAATGGGAAACCCTAAATGTTTGAGCACCCTCTATGAAACGTCAAGCTACCCCACAGCACCCCCAAAAAAAAATCTCTGGCGCCGCCACTGAGCCTGACTATTTGTGTTGGGGGGGGCCCGACTTTTTTTTTTCGCCTGACAGAAAAAGTTTGAGAACCACTGGTTTAAATGCATGTTAAATGGTTAAATGCCCAGCATTCTGCGCCACTCTATGATGTAGAATACTTGAAATAGTTGCTCTGCAGCATGTGTACTTGCGATTGAGAAACGGCCACTGTGTGTGTGTGTGTGTGTGTGTGTGTGTGTGTCAGGTTAAGATGGGCTCTTGCTTTTTGACAACAGAACATTTTCAAATTGAATGATTGAAGTAAGAATCTGTTTCTCAAATAATAATAATAATAAATGATAATAATAAAAATGGATTAGCAAGTATTTTTACAAGTTTATTTTATTCTTTACATGTATATTATTTTAGTATTTTTAAGTCCTGCTCTTGCTTTTTGCAAAATAAAATGATGAACAACATGATAAAATTTAAAATGATGTGATTGAAGTCTGAATCTGTTTCTTGTAATAATAATGATAATATTGAATTATTAATAATAATTTAATTTAATAGTTCATTTTTTTCTTTACTCAAACATATTTTTGGATGAATGTGTAATTTTATGTTGGCAAACAAGCTTGCCCTGTCCAAACATATCTTTGAATTTAGAAAAAGATTGTGATAAAGATATCTCGAGGACACTGCATTTAAAATATATATATATATATATATATATATATGATGGGGGAAAGAAATGAAACTTCTAGACAGTAGAGTTGTGAGGTTTTCTTTTTTAATTAGTTGTCATTTTGAAGTATATCAACACCAACGGCCTCTTACGACGGTCGGCTTGTTGTTGACGAGACAACAAGTCGGCGGGTTAATCTCGTTGTTTACAAATAAAACTCCGCTGTCGGATTATGTATCATTAATAAAAATCCAGCAGACAAAAACAAACACGTTGATATTCATATTGGGTTTCAACCGGTTTTAATTAACCCTGATTACAGCTTAATTACAAGTTTGAAAAAAAAAGAAAAAAAGCCACGAAAGAAGTGGAGAAGAATTCAATGTTACATCATGGTGTACTCTCATCCCTCCATGTGAGTGTTACGTAACGGCTCGGGGGAGACGAGGCGGGAGAAGGGAGACAGAAAGAGGGAGAAGATAGACCTTTACACAGGCAAACAATACACATCTATTTTCTTCTTTTTAAAATGATACAACCCCTTCCCTCCCTCCCCCAAAAGAATGAAAAAATATACAGAAGCAAAGAGAGAAAAAGGTAACATTATAAAACAAAAATTACAATACATGACAAAAAGATAAAATCACTCCCCCCCTAAATAAAATCCTCCGCCGCCGCCCCGTGTCATTTCTCTGTCAGCATCAAAATGAACATTACACATTTTTAGTTATATTACATTTGTGAAAAGACAAGAAACAGGTCTCTGGGTTTTTAAGGGGGGGCTGGAAACAGGGAATGGAGTTTGGGGGATTTCCACATCATCAACATAAAAAGCTAACAGAGCCATGGAATAATAACAATAATAATAATGCCAGGTGGAGAGAGGTACATAACCCAATGAGAACAATAAGAACAACAACAACAATAGCAAATATCGACATCAGAGAAATAAACCTTTTCTCCATTGATAGAGAAATGTTTGTGCTGTGTGTCTACCGTGGTGTGACTGAAACAGGAAGTGAGAGCGCCTGCGTTACAATCAATGGTTGCACCTCGGCGTGAGTCAGAGCAGGAGGTCGAGGCGACGCCTGAGCGAGGAGAAAAGGAAACAGAGAGAGAGGAGCAGGTATGGACTGATGCCTCATCTGTTGCTCAGATATGAGAAGTAGTAATAAGGCAGCTGTCAGTTCAGATACAGGACTGGGGGTGTGTGTGTGTGTGTGTGTGTGTGGTGTGTGTGTGTGTGTGTGTGTGTGTGTGTGTGTGTGTGTGTGTAATGAGGAAATCCAATCAGCTCAGCTACACAGACCCGCCTGCAGGCCATCTATCTCTCAGCGCGCTGCTATAGATCTGTCCTGTCACTGGTCAGGCGGGGACAGGCTGTTAACCAATCAGCTGCAAGCACCAACAGCTCCAGGATGTTAAAACATAATCACACAGGTATGAATCATTACCCTCGGCCGAGGATGTTTTGGTTTGTCTGTCAGCAGGATTGCAGGAAACTGCTGGTCTGATTTAGTGAAGGAGTCAATGAAGATCAATCAGGGGAGGGATACAGTGGTGCAGGAATGAGTCCTAAAACCTGGATATGAGTTAGCATGTCAGCACTTCTAGGTCGGTCGCTCGTCTAAAAGTTAATGTTTTAAACGTGTTTTTGGTTAGACACCTGAAATACACAAGCTTAAGATTTAAAACGTTTGTTCTAGAAATGAATACATGTCAGTAGGGTGTTACCCCACTCTTGAATGTCCGATGCTTCTATGTCTGATTAAAAACTATGGTTGCTAACAAGTGAGTCAATTAGACTACTACACTTTAGCTTGGCAGTGGAGACGTGAAGTCAAGTGACTGTGATGTCGTTTCTCAGCCTAACGGTAGCTTTTGACTTCTGGCTTTTGAATTTACAATATGTGGAGATTATCCTGCGGAACAACATTTCTGCCATAATCAAAATCCAATGAACAAATCCCATCAAGGGAACCCTTAAAATGCTAACTTCTGTGTCGGCCTTACGAAAGCCAGTCATCCCACCACTCCACACACACATTCATTTTACTGACAGTATTTGGAAAGTACGCCTACATTATAAAACTTAAATCTCAATGAATAAACTGTGTGTATCCTGATCTGGTCTAGTTTGTGTGCATGTGCAGAGTTTGAGGAGAGGGTCTTCCTGGACTTTTCCCAGCTATCTTTCCTACTTAATGATTAACCATTTAACCCCCTCTTGACCCAATCCAGAGCTGCTGTGAACTTTGGAGCACCATGCTAACTGGCCCTAGAGAAAAGACGGGATTACTACTTTATAACCCATGACCTAAGTCTGAGCACACAGCCCCCCCCCCCCCCCCACACACACACACAAGCACTGATCTGAGTGTGCAGACAGGAAGGAGCTGAGAGGGTGAGCTACACATCTGAATCCTCAGCGTGTGTTTGAGAGCCTGTGCTGTTATTCTCTGTGATGGTCTATAAAACAAATGTACAAGATAACCCCCACCCCCTCTTCATTCTCCATACGACCTTACGAGTGGCATGACATCACCCACACTAATCCACTTACAAAAAAAACCCTGAATCAATCATTAAAATCGCTTTTTAAAAAAAAATTCTTCTTAATAATTTCATTTAGAATTCTATAAAGATATAGTGTGGTGTGTGTGTGTGTGGTGTGTGGTGTGTTGTTTTATCAGGGCTGCATTTTTTGTACATGCTATAAAAACAAGGCATAGAGAGGCGTGTGTGTATGTGTGTGTGGTCTAAGATGCTCTCACACTCTTCGGATCGGAGGAGGAGTGGAGGGTCCACACACAACACACACACACACACAACACAACACACACACACACACAACACAACACACACACACACACACACACACACACCACACACACACACACACACACAACACACACACACACACACACACACACACCACACACACACACACACACACACACACACACACACACACACACACACACACAAACACACACACACACACACACACAGAGAGAAGAGCATGTTTAGAGCTAAAGGCAGTGTGTGTGGTGTGTGTGTGTGTGTGTGTGTGTGTGTGTGTGGTGTGTGTGTGTGTGTTGTGTTGTGTGTGTGTGGTGCTGGTTTAGTTGAACAATATCTATGATTGTTAGAGGAGCTTCAGCTGGTGAACGAGGAGTCTGTGCTGCTGGGACTCGAGGAGAAACTATGATACACAACATGTGAGGTGAGAAGGCTAGTTAGCGGACCCCCTCGTGGCCCCCTCCATAGTCTTTTCTCTACTGTGCTGTAGCACTTCTTCATCCTTCTCCTCACTTTAAATCATTTCTGAGAGTGGAGGAGTCATGATGTCTCTACAGGTGGTCCGCAAGAGAGAGAGGGGCAGCAGGACAGAAGAGAGACAGAAGGAAGGTTATAAAAAGTCAAAAGCTCGGAGAGAACGCTGTGCCAGAGTGTGTGGATGTGTGTTTGTGTCGCGGTGAGCATCGTTAAGAGTCCATAAGCAATGCTTCCACTGCGAGTCTCTTCACTGTTGGCTGTGTTTTTTTGCTTGTTGTGTGTGTGTGTGTGTGTGTGTGGTGTGGTGTGTGTGTGTGTGTGTGTGTGTGTGTGTGTGTGTGTGTGTGTGCGTGGATACAATAGACAGCAATAGTTCCCTGAGTGGAGAGGGTCAGGTTTACGAGTGGGACACCCAACAGCCACACGATTCAGAGAGAAACACCTTCCTGTCTTTTCCTCTGTGATTCTTTCAGTGTCGGCCAAACCACGGTTTTCACGAGTTAAAGATTGATTCCTCGTCTGCCATGTCGCTCCAGGGCTGTGTTTCTTTTTTAGATACAGGCACTTA